CCACCTGCCGAGGCCGAGCGGCTCGGACGCCGGCCCTGCGCTCGCGAGGAAAGAGCGCGGCCGGCCCTGAGCCTCAGCCCTGCCGCTGGACAGTGCGCCCGGCCCGCCCTCCCCGGCGCTTGTACCTTCGCCTGCCCGGGCCGGGACTGCAAGCTGCGCGCGGTGCTGCAGCCAAGCTCAGCACCTAGCACAGGGACATTTCTCGCCGCCGCCGCTAAACCGCTGGGCGCAAGTGCGCGTGCGCACCGGAGCGGCTGTCTGCACCGCCCCGCTTGTCCTTTTTGGCCTACATTTCCCAGACGCCACCGCGAGACAGCTGGTACGGTGTCCGAGAGGAGAAAGACGGCTGAAGGATAGGGAAAGCAATGGGGCTGGTGACCCTGAGAAAGCTCCAGGCGTGTTTTTCAGTTCCGGCCGTCTGCCCCTGTTTTGTGGTCTCGTTTTGTTCGTAATCGTAATAACAACGCTATAAAGGAAGGAAAAGTGTATGTATTCGGAAATGTGGACGACTAGCCACCCGTTGCAGTTTCCTGTCAGGTTGTAAGAGGATGGTTAGAATCTACAATTTATATCTAAATTTTATAACCTACAAAAGATGTGTGCGTGCGCGTGTGATTCGGTTGTTTGCAGTGCGGTGGAGCCAGGGCCTCCGTCCGCATGATAAGCCCAGGAGATAGTATGTATTTTAACTGGCACTCACATTGAGTCAAAACAAATGCGTAAACTCTTCATTTCCCTTTTCATAACACGCATTACTTCTTTTAAACAGTTCTTTTAATCGTAAAAGCAGTTCTCCAAGATGGTCACCCTCCTACTCACAACTACATCCTCGAGGACTAGCACTGCATGCGCCTAATAATACAGGTCCACGTTGGAGGGGGCACGTGCTGAGGACCATGTGCAGGTGGAGCTACACCCGGCCCCTGTATTGATTTTTAGAATACCAGACATCAGAGTTTACAAATACAGACATAAAGCCAGAGGGTTCTGGAAAACAAAGAGATGACCTAAGATATACTAGGGAAATAATCTGACAAAAGTCTGAGATCACAGTGTTACAATAAAAAGTCAAAGGTCATTTCGAAGTAAAAAATAATTAAATTGGACGAAATAATGTTTCTGAGTCAAAATGATATTGTGAAGGCTATTTAATAACAGCACCAAAAACCTAGCCGCTTATAAGAGAGTGACAATTAGCGAATAGAACCTATTAATGGTCTGGAGACATAGTTCGTAGATGAGAGTGCTTGTGAAGACTTCCAGAGTAAGCAAAAAGAAATAAAAATATAAATTTCAAAGAAGTTAAGTGAAAGGCTATTGACTAACATTTGAATCGGAAATGGCAACAACCAATTTTTGGTTCTTTCTTTAAAAAGTAAAAAACAACCCTTCCCTGTCTCCGTCCATTGTAAAGGCCTAGAAGGAATGACAATCCGATAGCAATTAGCGAAGAAAAAAAATGTTTAACACAAAAAAGGCCCCTTGGAGATGAACTACAAATCCAAGGCACGGATGCCTGAAAGCAGGAAAGCTAGCCAAGGTTCAGGTCAGAAGAAGGAACTAGCCAGAGGATTTCTACTGGACAGAGATGGAAGAATTTGATTATTAGCTGCAAAGGATTGAAATTCGTCAAGTAACCTAAGAATCTATCTTTTACTCTTGCCAAGATAGAGTAAAAGGAATTGGAATTGCCCTCCCACTCTATTTCTTTTTTTCTTTGCTGCTCAGTGCTGGGATTACAGGTGTGCACCACCGTGCCTGGCTGGCACAAACATCTTAACATATTGTACTGAAACAACTGGCCAGTCACATGTGAAGAAAAGAATATGGGTTTATATCTCACATCATAAAAACAAAAGCAAAATGAAATTAAACCCCCAAAATTAATTGTAGAACTAAATGTAAAGCCCAAAACATTAAAAATTCCTAGAAAAAATGCAATTTTGTGACATGCATTAAGTAAAGATTTCTTATTGCAACATCAAAGGCATAATCCATAAAACTAAAAAATGTAAAATAAGACTTCATCAAAATTATAACCTGTTTATCAAATGACATTTTCAGTGGAATGAAGAGGCCAGCCACAGAGAGAAATAAAACCATGTATCTGATAAAGGACTTCTATCCAGAATATATAAAATATTTTGAAAATTTTATAACAATCCAACAACAAAAACCCCAAACAATGTAATTTTAAAAATGGGCAAAAGATTTGATCATGTTATCAAAGAAGTTTCCAGGCTGGCAAAGAAGCTCATAAAAAGATGCTTAATATCATTGCTCATTAGGGAAATGGACAGTAAAACTGCAACCAGATACCATATAGTAAGCTGTATAATCCTCTGCCCTGGTATGTCCACATCCTGGGGAAATTTAGAACCTGTGAGTATGACCTTACAGAGCAAAACAGAATTTGGAGAAGATTAAGTATTTTGAAGTGGGAGAGGATGTGGTAATAGATCAGTGTGGAAAACATCAGCATGAGCTCGTGTTTTGTTGATCTACGTGTCTCTTGGTCAGCTTTCCTGTTCCAGGGACAGTATACCAAATGCCCACAACTCAGAGGAGGAGAGGTTTATTTAGTTCAGAGTTCAAGAGGTTTCAGTCCATGTTTGGCTGGCTCCAAGGTAGAGACAGCAGGGCAGAGGGTCGTGGTAGGGGAAAGTTGCTAACATCCTGTCTGAGAAGCAAAGTGCAGGGAATAATGCCGGAGAGAAAAGGGGCAGGGACTAGATACAATCCCCCGGGTACACCTCCAGGACACACTTCTGACCAAAGCCCCACTTTCTAGTAGCCCATTCAGCTCTAAACTCACAGTGGGTCAGCACACTGATGATGAGGTTAGTGTCATCACAATCCAATCACCTCCCCTAGGAGTCTCTTAATCCAATCAAGTTGACAGTCAAGATTAACAAGAACAAAGTAGAAATCACTATACAGCACTATTTCTAGGTATGAATACATACACAGGTTAGTGTACACATATGCAGTAATGCCCCACTTAAGGAATGCTTCTGTTGGTTAACAATTCAGTTTGGCCAAATTTTGCTTTCATTGGAGAACTCTGCATCGGATGATGAACAGGACCAGAGGCATCTTCCCCACAGGAACATGCATGCCCATCCTCCCCACTCTAACACGAGGTTGTGGCTTCCTCTAGTCGAGGTCATGGTTGCAGGTGGACCTGTGCAGATGTGCTATGAAGCACATACAACACTGTACAGTGTTATTCAACCCCTCCTGGCTCCTAAGAAAGTGCAGAGCAAGCATGGAGCGGTAATGAAGGTGACAAGAAAGTGGTAAGGAGGTTCTGAAGAAATTAACCATTGAACTGAAGAAGCAAACCACAGAAAAGCATGAGTGTGGTATCCCTGTGCCTGATCTGGGCTTGCAGTACAAGATGGCAAAGTTGACAGTCTCACTATTGTGAAGAATGAAGACGCCATCAAAGGAGCAGATATGGTAAAAGGAGTAACGACCTTAACCAAGCAGAGGACGCAAGTGCTGGAAGAGGTGGAGAAACGGTTAGTGTGGTTCAGTGAGAAGCAGCTGGCAGATGATAGCGTTAGTGAAGCTACGACCTGGGAAAAAGCCAGGAAATAGTGCAGTAATTTACTGCAGGAAAACCCTACTGATGCATCAACGGATGAAGTTCATCAGCCGATGAAGTTAAAGCCTGTAGAGGGTGTTTGATAAATCGCACAAGAGAAGTGGCATCCACAGTGTAATAGGACATGGTGAGGCTTCCAGTTCTGACAGGGCACTGCAGATGCCTACAAGAAAGACTTGCAGAATTCATGAAGGCAAAGGATACGTCACTCCAACAAGTGTCAACTGCGATGAAACAGGGCTCTGTTGAAGAAGATGCCAAACAGAACCTGCATCGCTATGGAGGAAAGAGGACTGCAAATTCAGTCCTGCCCTGGAGCTCAGTGAATGCCCTGGGTTCAATCCCCCAGTACTGGGGAAAAAAAAAAAAAGATGCTATATAAGACCATTTGAAACACTTCTTTGAGTGACTGACCCATCACTGAAATCTCTCACATGCATGTGCAATGGACCTGTTAATAACTCTTACTGTTTTTCTTTTATTGTCTTTTGTCAATGTGTTTTTTGCAACTTTTCCATAAATCTAGCACTATTCTCAAATTTAAAAGTTTATATTAAAAATTAGATCTGGGACAACATGTAGAATCATTCTAATATTAAGCAAATGAACATTATATGTGTTTAAATATTTTCACGGTGTAATTAGCATTTCTTTGATTTGTAAAACTTTTTCTTATATGTTTGTTTTCATTTATATTGTCATGCTTTTTTAAAAAAATTATTTGTCTTTCATTTTCCTTCTTACCTCTTGAGGCTATAGGGAAAAAATGAGAAAGACTTCAATATGCCAAAAACTTGCATGGGTATCTTGTGTGGAGTGCCCTTGGGGGTACCTCAACCTTTCACTGTCTTCAGTTTATTTTATGGTCCTGGAAGTCACAGGAAATTGTGAATAACACAAACTGTTCTTGTTCACAGAAATGCAGATTGATTGACTCAGTGGAATGCAACTGATTGTTGCCCTGTGACTAGAACTTTGTATATCTATTTGTAAGTTCATGTCCACTTGTGTATGTGTGGTTCCTTGAACTTTCCTTTGAACTTGTTTTAAAATCCTACTGTTTCTCTTTCATTAATAAGTTAAATAATATCTTTACCATGTATTCATTGTATATCTGTAAGAGTCATGATTTAATCTTTTTTCCTTTATTCTCTCATAAAGCCTTGGTGTTTTTCTTTAATATTTGAATCATTTTATTGCAAATATTTTAGAGATCTTTCAATTTTTCTCATAATAACTCATGACATCCTACATTGAAAAATATATAACAGCAGTTCTAAAATAATTTGCTTTTCTATATATCAGGCACAGAAAAAATGTATGTTTAAAAGAGATCCTATTTAATACGGCTATAAGAATAGCTATTTGAGGGGCTGGGGATTTAGCTCAGCGGCAAAGCGCCTGCCTGGCAAG